TTACTAGGAAGGCTAAAGAAAGTGGATCACAGCTTTAAGGACTGCCTAGGCTAGCCTTGCAAAGTTATCTCAAAATAATAATAATAATAATAATACTGAAATAAAGAGCTAAAGATACGGCTCTGTTGTAGGGCACTTGCCAGCGTGAACATGGTCCTGGGTTTCATTCCCAGTACTGTAAAAAGCCAAACAAAACAAACCCAGTGTTGAGAGTCCTGACTCATGCTCATGATCCCAACACTTGTGAGGCTAAAACAGGAAAATGGAAGTTGACATCCTGGATAACACAGTGAAATGTTCTCTAAAAAAAGGGAGGGGGGGAACTCTGTGCATTTGGTTTCTTCCAGTATTCTTTCTTCCTCTCACAGGTCTCTGTCCAGCTCTTCACAGTCGGCTTTTCTATGTTCTATTTCTGTTCTCTTTCAGTCTGTCATTAAAAGTATCATGACCTCCTCAAGAGCAAGACCTCAGGTTGGGAAAGTTGAGACTTCCCTCAATCGTTGTCCCATTTCTTGGGGTACCTCACACATCTGAACTTGAAGATGCTCAGTTGGACTGGATGAACTGAATAGATTTAGATCTGTCAAAACTCAGGTTGAGGCTGGCAGGATGGCACAGAGATAAAGGTGCTTACAACCCAACAACACAAGCCCGATGACCCTGGTTCCATCTCTGCAACCCACATAAAGATAAAAGGAGAGAACGGACTCCACACAGGTGTCCTTCTGCCCTCCACATGTACAGTGTGGCATGTGTGCCCCCCTCACAGAGTAATAATAATTAATAAAATAAAAAAAACAAGTCTATAAAATATCACATGACTCCCCACTAACATATATAATTTGTTTCTGTGTAATTATTTTTGGTTTTAAATTAATGAAAAATATACATATGTACATTTGTTTGATACAAAAGTAATACAAAGTTATGTTGGAAGTCACATCTTTTGCCTCATTTTAATTTCTAAAGTTAGCATGCAGAGTAACACCGTTCATCATGGTGTTCTCACACACACGGGCTGTACTTGAACCTTCTTCATGCCCATCATTCCCTCTTGTTGCTTCTCCTTCTTCCCAACAAACCATCCCAAAAGCCTGCATGTTACACATATTCTATCACCTCGCTGTCCCTCAGTTTGATCTCCCTTAAGTTCTTATTCTCCCCTCTCCCTGCACCCTTCTTACCTTTCTCCCTCTCTCTCTCTCCCTCTCCCCCCCGTCTCACACACACACCTGTATTCCACCTATGAGATGAAATGTGGCGTTTGTCTTTCCGAGTCTGACTTACTACACTTAACATCATGACTTCTAGCTACATCCATTTTCCCGCAGGTGTCGCGGTTTAAGTTATGTTTGGGTATGGATAAAATTTCAATGTGTTTATGTTTTACATTTTTTTTATTCACTCATCAGCCTGATGGATGCCTAGACTAATTCTCACAGCAATAAACACAGATGTGCAGTTTTCTCTGTGCTATAATGTGATGATATCCATTAGGTATATTTCTAGAATAGCTAGGTCATATGGTAATTCTAATTTTTGAGGACCCTTTACACTGATTTCCTCATTGGCTGGACGGGTCTACATTCCAGACAGTTGTGTACAAGGACTTTTTTTCCCCATCATATGATCAC